CTGGAGTCCGGGCTGCGACGGGCGCGGAGGTCTGGCGGCCTGTCCCGGCGGCGTCACGCGCGCCCGGGGTCTCTCCGCGCGCGGCCTGGAGACTCTCCCGCGGCGTTCGCGAGGACGTCGCTTGCAAGGCGGAATCCGAGGGCAGGGAGCGGAGGGCGGGGCCGGGGCCCAGGGTTCCTCGTGGCTGTGTCCGGGCCTTACCTCCCACAGAGCCTGAACTCGGGAGTCAGGCTGACCGGGGTTCACAGCCTCAGTACACTCTGTATCGCTGTGTTACCATGGGCACATCATAGGTCCTCCCTGGGCCTCAGTTTTCCTCCTCTGTAGAATGGGCGGAAGGAGGTGACTGTAAAGCGCTTCGTATGTGCCCAGGTCATATTTGTTGGATGAGTACTTTTTAAGAGAAGCGGGAGTTGAGCATGAGAAGTCTTACACTTTTAAATAGTGGCAACAGATTTTCTGCAGGATATCTGCACACCCGTTTTAGCCCATCAGTCACCAGTTGTGACTATGCTTTGAGAGATGGCCCGGCTTTCCATACCCAGCTTTGAGTGTTTCTCGGGAATTTTGTCACGGACTGGTCAGTGCAGACAGCCTGTTGCTCTAAAGCGGCAACTCTCGACACGGTTTTCTAGGTCCCAATTTGTTTCAGTTGAATTTTAAGAACAGAATTGAAAACCCCCTCATTAGAAAACATGAATCCTTGACTAGCAAGCTGTGAACACGAGGTGGTGAAGCCTCCGGCAATTTTGGAATCTGGGTTTTTCAGTCTTAGGGAAGATTAAGTCTTGAGAGCTATACGTGTCTCAGTAGTTGTTTATGTATATATTTTGAAATGTTGACCCATTTCCCCCCATAACCCTTTTATTTATTGTTATTATTTTTTTGATTCAGGGCCTCAGTCTTTTGTCCAGGCAGGATCACGGTTCACTGCAGCCTGGACCCCCTGGGCTCAGGCCATCCTTGATTCTAAGGCCTCAACCTCCTGAGTAGCTGGGACTACAGGTGTGCACCACCACGCCTGGCTAATTTTTTGTGTGTGTGGAGACGGGTCTCGCTATGTTGCCCAGGCTGGTCTGAAACTGGGGCTCAAGTGATCCTCCCTTGGTCTCCCAAAGTGCTGGGATTACAGGTGTGAGCCTCTGCACCTGGCCACCTTTTGGTTTTAGAACAGTTTTAAATGTACAAAGTTCTTACAAAGATGCTTCAGTGAGTTCCCATGCTACCCCACATCCACTGTTCCCTATTATTGACAACTCACCTTGGTATGTGCATCTTTCACAGTACTGATACATTGTTTACTAAAGACCATACTTTATTCATATTTCTTCAGTGTTTCCCTGATGGCCATTTCCAGTTCCAGTCCTCTATTCAGGATGTCCTAGCACACTGAGTAGGTGTGTCTTCTTAGGCTCATCTCTGGATAGTTTTTCAGACTTTCTTGTTTCAGATGAACTTGACAGTTTTGAGGAGTACTGACTGGTCAAATATTTTGCAGAATGATCCTCAGTTGGGATTTGTCCATTGTTGTCATGGTGAGACTGGTTATGGCATAGGGAGGAAGACCACAGAAGTGAAATGCTACTCATCACCTCGCATCAGGGGCACATGCTGTCAGTATAGTTACCATTGTTGGTGGTAACCTCGGTCACTGGACTGGAGGCAGTAGTCAAGCTTCCTTCTGTCAGGTCACCTTTCCACCCTCCTTCTGTCAGGTCACCTTTCCACCCTCCTTTCCTTTCTGTACTTCTGGAGAAAGTTCTTTGTACTGCCCATACTTAAGGAGTGTGGATTTATGCTTTACATTTAAGCATTATTTTCTTCTTCAGTCATTTTTATCAGTATGACTTCATGGATTTAAAAAAATTATTTTAATTTAATTTTTTTTTAATTTTAAAATTGTGGAGTACAATTCAGGGTTAGGTATACAAATATTCATTGTGTGGGTACCCTTGTTGATGAGGTGTGACCCCCCTCTCGCCAGGCAGATCTCGACTACTGTCAATCCCTCCCACCCCCCCACAGTTTCCTGCTACTGTCAAGTGGATTTTTTTATATTTAGGACTGTAACCCAGTGCTACTTTATTCTGTTCCTCACATTGTTTCAGCTTTGGCTATTGGAAGCTCTTTCAGTTGCCTCCTGTGTCCCCTTGACATACCCACCCCTCAATGTGTGTGTGTTTTATTTGAGCACTTTCTACTCAAGGTGTGCTCTCTGCTCCTGGGTGTCCTTGCTTCAGGCCCTCCGTGGACAATGAGAACTGTACGTGTGTATGCACAGATCTACACGTGTTTCTGTGTGTGACCACTTGTGTCTATATTAAGCTAAACAGGGCTAATCCCTCAGCTCTCATCCGTTACCATGTGGTTTATTCCAGTCTTCTTCTTTTGCTTAGATCTATAACCTCCCGTTCCACCTGTGACCAACCTGACTCCCACTTCCCATTACCCTCTCGGATCACTGTTCAGTTCTGGTTACCTGAAGCAGGATTGTCAATCCATTCCTCATGGAAGCTACCTTCTCACCTGAGCACAGACTTCACGTGTGACTCCTGCCTTTCATCTTCCCGACTCCACTCATTTCTGAAGTCTCGTAGGTCACCACCTTTCCCCCTGCCCCTTCAGAGGACTTGTTGGATACGTTTAGATTCAGAATGTCACATTGTGCATTCTGTCCTGGGATTCCTGATCTCCTATGTGATTTTTAAACATTGATATACATTCAAGTGTAATCTTTTTAAAGTTTTATGGGTTTTGACAAATGCCCAATGTGTTGTACTCACTGTTAGTGTCATACAGAATAGTTCTCCCTCCCTCAGGGATTCATTTCTAACTTCTCACAGATTTCACCTTAGCAATACCAGTGGCACTCTCTTTAGAAGATATCCATAACCTGAGAATTTACTGCCTCTACTGCTGCCACCCTGGTGGCAGGCTTTTTTTTTTTTAAACCAGACTTTTGACTGGTAAGGTGGCCTGTTTGCGGGTCTGCCTGACCTCGCTCTTGTTGCCTGTAGTCTCTTGTCTACACAGCAGCCAGAGACACCATTTTGAAGTGGGTTAGATCATGTAATTTGTTTGCAAGGAACCTTCCTAGTGCTCCCCTGCTACTCAGAGAAGAGGCCTGAGTCCTTATGATGGCCTATACTCACTGACTCTCTCCTTGATCACGAAGGGCATTCCTGTGTCAGGACCTCTGCCCTTGCTGTTCTTCTATCCCAGGACATTGCTGTGGATGTTTCAGTGACTTATTCTTGTGCTTCCTTCTTGCTTCTGCTGAAATGTCACCTTCTCAGGAGGCCCTTCCCTGAGCACCTCATGAAATAGCACCTCCTTCCTCCCTCCATGTTTTCTTGTAACACTCATCCCTGACATTATGTTTCATATGTTGGAGTGCTTCCATTTGGATGGAAACTCCGTGGAGGGACTTGATTAATGCCTGGCAGATGGTAGATCATATTTGTCCAGTGGATGAATGTTGCAGACCACCAGTGTCTGGCGTTCAGGGATGAGCCTCACAGTATCAGCAGCCTCATAAAATTACTTGCTTTGCTTGGTAATAACTAAGTGTGCACTTTTTGTTAGGTTCTGATAGGGGTGTGAAAGTCTCCCAGTGTGTAAAAGCCTCCCTCTTGGGCAAGTCAGGAGCCTTCTGAGCTGGATACCAGCATGGTCAGTTCTGCTTTGACTCACTGGGAGACCCAGGGAAGCCCATGACCTTTCAGCCCCTCCTCATTGTTAAATGACACAGTTGGTGAGGCGTCTGCTCTTGCTTTGGAGGTGGAAACAAAGGCATAGTCTTCGTCAGTTACCAGATATTTATTAGTCTGGCCCTGGGGTAAACTCAAGATAGACACAGGAACCTTGCTGTCCAAGAGATCACAATGGATCAAGTAAAAGACAATAGATTCCAGTTAAATATTTCTCAAACAGTAAGAAGAGCATTTTAATCTGGGCTCGGTGGCTCAGCCTGTAATCCCGCGCCTTTGGGAGGCTGAGGTGAGTGGATTGCCTGAGCCCGCGGGTTCGAGACCCGCCTGGGCAGCGAGACCTCATCTCTACAATAACTAAAAAAATCAGCCGGGCGTGGTAGCGCATGCCTGTAATTCCGGCTACTCGGAAGGCTGAGGTGGAAGGATCGCCGGAGCCCAGCAGGTCGAGGCTGCAGTGGCCAGGAGCGGCCACTGCACTCCAGTCTGGGCGGCAGAGTGAGACTCCAACTCAAAAAAAACAAAACAACACAAAACAAAAAAAGAGCATTTTAAAATTGGATACAGAACATACATTCTTGGATGTAGATGGATATTGAAAAGTCTTCAGGGCACAATGCCGACCCTCACTAATATGATACACTCTGATATTTTCTGTTGTCATTTATTTAAAGAGCTAAAAGTGCAGGCTAATGAAGTTAAAAGAACAAGTGCTGATTGCAGCTCCGATAGCTTTTGTGGCTTAGGAAGGGTTACAGCCTGCAATTTGGAGACCACTGGTATAGTGGGTGAGTGCCCTGGCTTGGGAGAGCCAGCTTGAATCCTGACTCTGCCACTTAGCACCATGTTGTCCCTGGGCAGGTGGTGGAACCTTCAAGCCTGGGTTTCCGCATCGTCACTGGTAACTCCCACTCCCAGAGTGCTTGTGAGGTGAGGTGATGGCACAACACCCGGGATGTGCTCGACGCTGATGTTGGAACAGAGCCTGTCACAGTGTCTCGGGGATAAGTGCTTCCTGTTGAGGTCTGGAGAGTGAGCAGGATTTGTGTGACTTCTGCCATCAAGAAAGGAAAACCCAGAAGCACTGGCAGGTGGGCTGGGAAGTAAAGCGCAGAGGTGCCGGGAGAACCAGAGGAGACTTTGAAGGCACGTCCAGGATGTGTCACAGCGCCCTGTAGCCTGGAGGGAGCCTTGGCCACATGTCTATATAATTAAAGTTAAATTCAAGTTAAAAATTCAGTTCCTCTGTAGCCATTGCCACAGGGGGCTGGCAGCTACTGTTCGGAGAGCACAAATATTGAACATTTTCATCATTGCAGAGAGTGTTATTGGATGTGCTTCATAATATCCTAACAGAAGTCTTGCGAAGGAAGTAGAAGTAGATAGGGCATAGATTTTTCTTTTACGTTGAATTTATTGTTTCAATAACAGTCCACAAAATTAAAGCTCAGTGACTCCTTCACCTTAACAGCAGCTATGTATATTTCTGTGGCCTCTTTTGATCTTCAGCCCATGAAATCAGCTTAAAGATGGTTGCAGGCACAGATTTTATACAATTGCTTACTTTTCTTCAGTGTTCCACAAAGTCTCTCCACTGACCTGATACACGATGTGTTTATTTGCCGTTTTAGTGAGGATTATACCATGATGCACCAGCGTTGGGCTATTTCCTCATTGCTGGATATCTCAGTTGCTTCCTGTCTTTCAGTGTTATGAATAGTGCCGCTGTGAACTTTTTTGTAACCGGAGGCTTTTTCTTCTTGTGAATTGTTTCCTTTCTATAAATTCTAGGAAGTAAGCTATTCAGTCAAAGGATAGAATCACTTTTATGACTCTTGTTATATGTTGCCTAATTGCCATTTAAAAAAAAACCTAATGTGTTATAGCTTTGATTAGATGTTGTTACTTAGCTCAGGAGACTAGTGGTCAAGAGATTAGGAGCCCAAGAGGGTCGGTGCTCCTGCATCCGATTCTGCCCCATGTTTCTATTGCACACTGCAAAGATTTGGAACAGTGTTGCTGTTAGTTAAACTACTAATTAGCCTGAGTATGTGTAAACCGGGTAGGCTTGGTACAGCCTTAAGCACAAACTTGGGGCCAAACATATTTAAAAGAGGTGCACGGTGAGGAGTACACAGCTTTTTACACTTGGTATTCAGGGCGGTGCCCACAGAGGCTAGACGCTTTTTCCTGTGACACCGTTCTCACACAGGGGAATTGACTTCAGGGCCAGTTTATGAATCTCCCCGGATAATCTGCCTGGAGTCTGAGTGTCATACCTTGTATTTGACCAAAAATGGTATTACTGAGTTCAGCGCTCTACCTGATTCACCACACTTGGAGCCAGATGATGCTGGGTTCTTTCCAGAAGTTAAATCCTTCCTGGGAGGATGAAGATCTGCCAGCTCTGAGAATTCTGGGGGGGGTGCCAGGGAATGGCCTCAGACTTTGAAGGCCATTCCCAAACTAGAAAGAACTGATGTGAAAAGTGACCGCCGCCCTGTTGGCCCAGGCACGCAATCTTGTGACCAGGTTAAAGGGAAGCAATATTTATCTGTGTAAGTCCCACTGTTTACTTAGAAAGTCATTTTTATTATTCTCCAGTGCGAAACAGGGAGGTAGCAGAGCTGAGGTGGAGGAAGAGCTGAGGTGAGGTGGCAGAGCTGAGGTGGAGGGCCTGTAGGGTGGTCTCTTTAATTCAGGCCATCCCATGGAATGCAATACAGGCCATGTGTAATTTTACATTTTCGAGCAGCCACATTTAAAAAGTAAAAAGGTGTGGTGACTGACGCCTATAATCGCAGTGCTTGGGAGACTGAGCCGGGAGGATTGCTTGAACCCAGGAGTTTGTGACCAACCTGGATGAAACAACATGATCTTGTCTCTAAAAGAAAATAATAAAGAAATTAGCCAGACATGGGGAGATGCACATGTAGCCCCAGGTACTCATGAGACTGAGGTGGGAGGATCACTTGAGTCTAAGCAGAGGTGATTGCATCATTGCACTCCAACCTGGGCAGTAGAGCAAGACCTTGTTTCTAAAAAAAGAAAATGATTGCATCACTGCGTTCCAGCCTGGGCAACAGAGCAAGAACCATTCTCTAAAATTAACTAACAAAGCCGGGCTGGGTGACTCAGCCTGTAATCCCGCGCCTTTGGGAGGCTGAGGTGAGTGGATTGCCTGAGCCCAAGGGTTCGAGACCCGCCTGGGCAGGCGAGACCTCATCTCTACAATAAAATAAAAAAATTAGCCGGGCGTGGTAGTGCACGCCTATAATTCCAGCTACTTGGAAGCCTGAGGTGGAAGGATCGCCGGAGCCCAGCAGGTTGAGGCTGCAGTGGCCGAAGCGGCCACTGCACTCCAGTCTGGATGACAGAGTGAGACTCCAACTCAAAAATAAATAAATAAATAAATACATAAAATTAACAAACAAAAAAGCAAAAAAAAAAAAAAAATTGGTGTTTTGGTGGCAAAACAAAGCTTACCATTTTAACCATTTTTAAGTATAAAATGCAGTGGCATTTGCAATGTTGTATAACCATCATCAACTTTTCTATCTTCCCAAACTGAAACTCTGTACCCATTAAACAGTAATCCCCTATTGCACCTGCCCCCAGCTGCTGATCACCTCTGTCCTACTTTGTGTCTGAATTTGCCTGTCTAGGTGAGTGGAGCCATACAATATTTGTTGTCCTTTTGTGTCTGGGTTATTTCACATTTATTTATTCAGTTCTCAAAGTTTCAGTGTCTTCAGGGTTCATACATGCGATATATATTGCATGTATCAGAATCTAGTTCCCTTAGTGACTGAATAGTACTCCGCCGTATGCGTATAGACTCTTAGTTGTGCACATCTTTGACTATTGTGAATGACGGTGCTATGAGCATTGGTGTCTTTTCCTCTAGGTTTTTTGGGAGTTGATTTGCTAGATCCTATGATGATTAAGTGTTTAACTTTTTGAGGAATCACCAAACTGTTTCTTCAAGGGCTGCTCTATTTATATTTCCACCAGCTGCATGAGGTTTCCGGTTTCTTACCAGCACTTTCTTTTCTTTTTTTTTTTTTAATGACCGTACGTGAGTATGAAGTGGGACCTCATTGTGGTTTTGATGTGCATTTCCCTAACAACTAATGATGTTACATGACTTTTCATGTGCTTACTGGCTATTCATATATCTTTTTTGGAGAACTGTCTCTTCAAGTCCTTAATCCACTTTAAAATTGGGTTGTTCTGGATTTCTGTTATCGTAATTGTGTTACAGTTCTTTATATATTCTGGATACTAGACTTTTATCAGATATATGATTTACAAATATTTTCTTAGTGCTGGGATTATAGGTGTGAGCCTCTGTGCCCAGCCAAAAGTTTTAAATTTTTATGTGGTCTAAGTTATATTTTCTTTTGTTGCTTGTGCTTTTGATGTCATATGCTAGAGGTCACTGCCAAATCCAGTGTCATGAAGATTTACTCCTGGGTTTTCGTCTAAGAGTTTTAAGCTATATTTTAAGTGCTTGAATTTACATCTTTGACCTATTTTGAGTTAATTTTTGTAAGTAAGGGTCCAACTTTGTTCTTCTGCATGTGAATATCCAGTTTTCCTACCACTGTTAGTTGAAAAGATTTTCCTTTCCCCATTGGATGATCTTGGCACCCTTATTTGAAAATTGGTTGACCATAAATGTGTGTTTATTTCTGGGTTCTCTATTCTATTTCTTTTGTCTGTATGCCTATTTTTTTTTTTTTTGGAGTTGGAGTTGGAGTCTCACTCTGTCGCCTAGACTGGAGTGCAGTGGCATGTTCTCAGCCACTGTAGCCTCGACCAGCTGGACCCCGGTGAGCCTTCACCCTCAGCCTTCCAAGTAGCCAGAACTACAGGCACACGCTACCACACCTGGCTAGTTTTTGATTTATTGTAGAGACAAGGTCTGGCCAAGTTGCCCGGGAGGTTCTTGAACCCACGGGCTCAGGCAGTCCTCTCTCCTCGGCCTCCCAAAGTGCTGGGATTACAGGCTGAGCCACTGAGCCCAGCCACCTGTTCTTATACCAGTACCACACTGTTTTGATTACTGTAGCTTTGCAATAAATTTTTTTTTTTTGAGTCAAGGCCTCACTCTGTTACCCAGGCTGGAATGCAGTAGCACACTTATGGCTACCATGGCCTCAACCTTCTGGGCTCAGGCGATCCTTCCACCTCTACCTCCCAAGTAGCTGGAACTACAGGTGTGTGCCATCACACCCAGCTAATTTTTTTATTTATTATACAGACGAGGCCTCACCAAGTTGCCCAGGCTGGTCTCAAACCCCTGGGCTCAGGCCATCCTCTCTCCTCAGCCTCCAAAAATGCTGGAACTACAGGCGTGAGCCACCACACCCAGCTAATTTTTTTTTTTTTTTTTTTGAGTTGGAGTCTCACTCTGTCGCCCAGACTGGAGTGCAGTGACTGGGAGCGGCCAACCTGCTGGGCTCGACCTGCTGGGCTCCGGTGATCCTTCCACCTCAGCCTTCCAAGTAGTCAGAATTACAGGTGCGTGCTACCACGCCTGGCTGATTTTTTGATTTATTATAGAGATGAAGTCTCGCTGCCCAGGTGGGTCTCAAACCCGTGGGCTCAGGCATTCCACTCACCTCAGCCTCCCAAAGGCGCGGGATTACAGGCTGAGCTACCAAGCCCAGCTAATTTTTTGACTTATTGTACAGACAAGGTCTTGCCAAGTTGTCCACGCTGGTCTCAAATCCCTGGGCTTAGGCCATCCTCTCTTGGACTCCCAAAATGCTGAGATTACAAGCATGAGCCACCGTGCCTGGCCTGCAATAAGTTTTGAAATTGTAAAGTTGGGCCTCCAACTTTGTTCTTTTTTGAGGGATGGGGTCTTGCAGTGTCACCCAGGCTGGATGGAATACAGTGGTATGATCATAGTTCACTGCAGCCTCGAACTCCTGGGTTCAGGTGATCCTCCCACCCCAGCCTCCCAAATAGCTACAACTACAGGCATGTGCTACCACTCCTAGCTAATTTTTAAGTTGGTTTTTTTTTTATGAGTTGAGGTTCTGGCTGTGTTTCCCAGGCTGGTCTTGAACTCCTGGGCTCAAGCCATCCTGCTGCCTTGGTCTCCTAAAGTGCTGGGATTACAGGTGTGAACCACTCCTGGCCTATCAAACTTTGTTTTTTAAAAAAAAATTGTTGGGAGGCTGAGATGAGTGGATTGCCTGAGCCCACGGGTTGGAGACCCGCCTGGGCAGCGAGACCTCATCTCTACAATAAATCAAAAACTTAGCCGGGCATGGTAGCACATGTCTGTAGTTTCAACTACCTGGAAGGCTGAGGTGGAAAGATCGCAGGAGCCCAGCAGGTTGAGGCTGCGGTAGCCGGGAGCAGCCACTTCCCTCCAGTCTGGGAGACAGAGTGAGACTCCAACTCAAAAAAAAAAAAATTGGTGAAATTAAATTTTTTTTTTTGAGTTAGAGTCTCACTCTGTCACCCAGACTGGAGGGCAGTGGCACTCTCCCGGCCACTGCAGCCTCAACCTGCTGGGCTCCTGTTATCCTTCCATCTCAGCCTTCCAAGTAGCCGGAACTATAGGCGCGTGCTACCACACCCGGCTAATTTTTGATTTATTGTTGAGATGAGTTCTCACCAAGTTGCTTGGGTGGGTCTCCAACCCGTGGGCTCAGGCAGTCCTTTCACCTCAGCCTCCCAAAGTGCTGGGATTATAGGCTGAACCACCGAGCCCGGCCAGTGAAATTAATTTTAATAATATAATTTATTTAGCTCAATATATAATTTCAATATGTAACCAATATAAAAACATTAACGAGCTATAGTACATTATTATTTTCATGCTAAGTCTTTGAAGTTGGGTGTGTATTTAACTTAGCATCTCAGTTCAGAGTAGTTACATTTCAGGTTTTAATCATCTCATGTGGCTCATGGCCACCATACTGCATAGCTCAGATTTAGCAGAAAGTTTCACTGTGGCACAAATCTCTGAAAACACAAAGGGCTTCGGAGGCAGTTGGCCCGGTTCCAAAGTACACTGCCCTTTTATCATCGGGGTGGACAGTGTCTGCCTCCTCCCATGGTAGAGGTGGAGCAGGTCAGTGGTCTCAGGGGAGGAGGAGAGTTGTAGAGGTGATACGTGAGCCCAGCCTTGGAGGTGAGTGAGGGCTTCACCAAGCAGTCAGAGTGGGGAGGACATTGTTGGCAGAGTGCAACTTGGGCAGAGGCCTAGGGTTTTGAGAGAGCTCAGTGCTCTTGGAGAACCACATGCAGGTCTTTCAGCTTGACCAGGCTATTGGAAGTGGGGGCCTGCTGGGGGGAGGCTAGAGGCTAGAGAGAAGGATTGAGGCCAAAGTTGCCTCCACTGGCTACCACTGCCCCGTCATTCAAACTGCTAGTGTTTCTTGTTTAGCCCATTAGCAGTGGACTTCTCATCTGCCCTACTCCCCCACACCTCGTGTCCACCTTGGCCCCCCCCCCCCATTTTCCCTCCTCCATTAAAAGAAAAGTCAGCGGGCTTGGCGCAATGGCTCAAGCCTGTAATCCCAACACTTTGGGAGGCCGAGGCAAGAGGATGGTCAGAGCCCAGGGGTTCAAGACCAGCCTGGGCAACTTGGTGAGACCTCATCTCTACAATATATATATTAAAAAAAAAAATTAGCCTGGCATGGTAGCATGCACCTGTAGTTCCAGCTACTTGGAAGACTGAGGCGGAAGGATCACCTGAGCTGGCCATGAGTGAGCCACTACACTCCAGCCTGGGTGACAGAGTAAGATTCTGACTTAAAAAAAAAAAAAAAAAAATATATATATATATATATGTCACTTCTCTGCTCAAAACTCTTCAGTGGTTTTGCATTTCATTCAATCACATTGGATCCTTCAAGGTCTACCCCATCCCTCTGATCTGCCCTCTTCCTGATCCCCTCTCCCTGGTTATGTTGTCTTCATTTCTCACCCAGGCCTCTATGCTTGCTTCTCTCTCTGCCTGGACTATGGCTCCCTCAGATCCACCAATGGCTCCCTTGGCATGTCTACCACTTTATTCCCATCTCTGTCTTAGAGTGGCTCTTCCTGTTACCCTGTACAAAATAAATTGATGCCCTTCTTCAGTTTTTCCTAAAACACCTGGCATATCACGTCTCCATGTGCTCATTGTCCTGAGCATGTCAGCCCCAGGAGAGCAGGGGCTTGCCTGTTTTACTCACTCTTTCGTGCTTGGCATTCAATAAATATTCATTGAATGAATGCCTAGATGAATAATAAGTGGATCAACAGAATCTGAACACAGCAGGCCTTCAGTAGATGTGTGTTGATTTGAGGCTTTTTTTGGAGTTGTTTACCTTTGCAGTTACTTATTTTCTTTAACTTTATATTTACAAAACTTTAACCATACAAAAAAATTGTGCAGGGACTCTATGTCCTCTTCTTAGATTCAAGAGTTGTTGCTATTTCACCATAGTTGCTTTCTGTCTTCTTGCATGTGTGTGTGTGTTTGTACAAGCTAAAGGGCAGTTGTAGAAATGTGACATTTACCCTTTGCATTTTATAGGTTCGCTCCTGAGAGAGTGAGTCAGAAGAGACCTCAGGAGCAGACAGCGTGGGCCATGGCTTCCGACCTGGACTTCTCGCCTCCTGAGGTGCCTGAGCCCACTTTCCTGGAGAACCTGCTGCGGTACGGACTCTTCCTGGGGGCCATCTTCCAGCTCATCTGTGTGCTAGCCATCATTGTACCCATTCCCAAGTCCCACGATGCGGTGAGTCCTTCCCTGGGAACCTCAGCTCCTCGAAGGGCCAGGCCGGGTTCTAGGTACTCAAAGCAGACACCACTGCAGCTGAGGCTTGCAGGGCTATACTGGGGCTTCCTGGCTTAGTGTGCCCCTAAAGTCCCACACAGATGGAACCACATAGCTAATACTTTATTTGTTCACATACCGGTTAAGCAGATTTTTGTTTTGTGCCTACTACATGCCAGACTCTGCTGAAAAATGTGGTGTCTGCCTGCCCTCAAGGAGTTTCCAGTCCTTGGGAGGGAAGGCAGATACTAAAAAACTATCTGCCTGTGCTTCCCTGAGAAGTATGGGGTGCAGTGAGGGTGTACAACAAGAGAGGAGACCTGATCTTACCCTAGGGCAGGAGCTGGGCTTTGAGAGTGTTTGAGCCGAGACTGAAGGAATGAGTGGGCTTTGCCCTATGAAGTGGGCAAGGGGCGAGGACATCATTCCAGGGAAAGGACACTGCATGTACAAGGGACCTGAGGAATAAAAGAAATGAATGAAGGTGACTTTGCACAGAGGGGCATAGTGGAAGTTGCAACCAGAGGTGTGGGCAGGGCCCAGTGGGTTTTAAGTAAGAGAATGACATCATCAGATGGCTTTTTTTGTTGTTTTAGGTCTTCTGTAAGTGTCATTATTTTATGACTATATACTGTCCTACCAGCTTTCTTTCCTATCTGTATTTCCTCATGACTTGATTTGTTGGCGAAAGCAGGTCATTTGTCATCTGTTATATTCATGTCCCAGGATCTGGCTAATTGCTTCTCTGTGATGTCATCTTTTTTTTTGAGTTAGAGTCTCACTGTGTCGCCCAGGCTGGAGTACAGTGACATGCTCATGGCCACTGCAGCCTCGACCTGCTGGGCTCAGGTGATCCTTCCACCTCAACCTTCCAAGTAGCTGGAACTACAGGCACACACCACCACATCTGGCTAATTTTTTGATTTATTATAGAGATGAAGTCTTGCCAAGTTACCCAGGTTGGTCTTGAACCCATGGACTCAGGCAGTCCTCTCACCTCAGCCTCCCAAAGTGCTGTGATTATAGGCATGAGCTACCATGCCCAGCCTGTGATGTCATTTAACAAGTTTCTCTGTTTCCCACATTTCCTATCAACGGGAGGCTCATCCATAGGCCTAATTCCGTTTAATCAGGTTATGTGGTGCAGACACCTCATGGCTGGTGCCGTGTGCTTCCTGCTGCGTGCTGTCAGCAAGTGTATAGTGTCTGGCTGCCATGCATGTAGAGATTCCAGGATCGATCATTGACTTCAGATGGTGTCAGCGGATTCCTCCATTATAAAAATCCCCCATTAATCTCTCACCTAAGTAGTTTTAGCATCCATTGATGATCATTGCTTTGATCCATTACAGTAAGTCCCCTACATTCAAACTTTCAAGTTGCAAACTTTCAAAGGTGTAAACATGTGTCTGCATGTCCAGTCACGTAAGTTCACATGTCTGGTGTACATACAGCCCCCATATGTCAGCTGCTGTACTGTACTACTGTACTTTTCAAGGCACTGTACTGTAAGATTAAAAATGTTTTCATTTGTGTAAAAATACTGTAAACCTATTACAACACAGTACTATATAGCTGATTGTGTTAGTTAGGCACCGAGGCTATCTTTGTTGGACTTACAAACAAATTGGACCTATAAATGCACTCTTGAAACAGAACTCATTTGTATCTAGGGAATTTACTGTGTTTCCTTCTGCATTTGTATGCTCAAATTCTTGTTGGAGACCTTTTCCTCATTACCTGTATGGTTCTTTTTCCCTTTATTTATCAATTTCCAAAGTAGTGAGCTCTGGCTCTAGCAGCTTCCAGTGTTGACCAGTAAAGCTTCGGTTTTCATATCATTTTGAACATATATTTTTATATATTTAATATCTTTTAATTAGTTTGTTTTCTGATGCTCATATTGTCTCAGTGGGAGTCCTTACAAGTTGGCATCTTTGTTCCTTGTCATACTGCATTAGTTTTTTATACCTTTCTTGCTCCCTGGCTCAATAAGATGTCCCAGGCTCATTTTTGGTTTTTTGTTTTGAGTTGGTGTCTCACTCCATCGCCCAGGCTGGAGTGCAGTGGCACACTTATGGCCATCCCAGCATTGACTTGCTAGGCTCCGGTGAGCCTTCTGCCCCAACCTTCCAAGTAGCCAGAACTATAGGTGAGTGCTCACCAAGTTCCCCGGGCTGGCCTCGAACCCGTGGGCTCAGGCATTCCACTCGCCTCGGCCTCCCAAAGTGCTGGTATTATAGGCTGAGCCATCAAGCCTGGCCCCCAGGCTCATTTTGTACATTTCCTATCCCAGTTCCTTTTATTTCTCAATTTTCAGAGTAGTGAGTCTGGGTGTTCAGCATAAGCCATATTGTTGACACAGTTGAGGCACAGTGGGCCACTCTTATCATTTCTGGGAATTGTGGAAACCACCAAAAGCCAAGGTACCAGACGCCAGCCAAGGGCCAGCCTTGTAAGCAGGCTTTTCTTTTCTTTTTTTTTGAGTCAGGCTCTCACTCTGTTGTGCAGGCTGGAGTGCAGTGGCACGCACATGGCCACTGCAACCTTGACCTGCTGGGTTTAGGCAATTCTTCCACTTCAGCCTTCCAAGTAGCTGGAATTACAGGCATGCACTACCACGCTCACTAATTTTTCTTGATTTATTGTAGAGACAAGGTCTCACTAAGTTGTCCAGGCTGATCTCGAACCCCTGGGCTCAGGCAATCCTTTCGCCTTAGACTCCCAAATGCTGGGATTATAGGCGTGAGCCACTGCGCCCGGCCACAAGCAGGCTTTTCCAAGGTTAGCAGTTGGTTAACTCTATTGTGCATACCTACAATGTACTAATTATAGTTTAAAAAAAATTTTTTTTTTTTTGAGTTGGAGTCTCACTCTGTCGCCCAGGCTGGAGTGCAGTGACATGCTCACGGCCACCCCAGCATTGACTTGCTGGGCTCTGGCGATCCTTCCATCTCAGCCTTCCAAGTAGCTGGAACTACAGGTGTGTACTACCATGCCCAGCTAAAATTTTTTTTATTTATTGTAGAGACGAGGTCTCACCAAGTTGCTCAGGCTGGTCTTGAACCCGTGGGCTCAGGTAATCCACTCGCCTCAGCCTCCCAAAGTGCTGGGATTACAGGCTGAGCCACTGCGCCTGGCCATAGTTTTAAAATTGAGTTGTTTTTTACTGCTAATAAGACAACTCAGAATAAATGTAAGATTTCTTTGTGGTTCTTTTTTGGCCTTAGAATTTGTCCCTGTAGGGATATGTGGTTAAACTCCTGTGTTTAGTCATGGTTTTCTCTGTTTAGATCTCCCACTATGACAGGTTCATTTGCTTTAATTTGTTTTTAATTTTTAGGGGTTTTTTTTCCTTTTTGATTTTGTTTTTTAATTTATATACAGTATTTCCCAGCATTCACAGAAATTTCCTTTAATCTCATTATCCTCCACCCTGTTCCCTTCCTCCCCAAAAGGAACCATTTTTATTACTTTGGTTTACCTGTTCTTTGTTTCTTTTTGAAAGCATAAACTAATGCATATGTGTGTGTGTATTTGTATTCCCCCCTTAGATGCATAAAAGATAGTTTACTATAAAACACAAGTTTTGCCCCTTTCTTCTCCCATTGACCGGTGTATACTGTACTCTGGAGATCCATATATCTTGGCTATCACTGTGTCCTGGAGACTTGCTTCTGTAGCTGGGAGGATGATGGGGATTTACTGATGCGACAGGGAACCCATCCACACAATGGGGAGCTCTGACAAAGGAGTGGGCTTGGGGTGGGGCAGGGAAGGAGCATGCCAGGTTCAGTTTTAAACAGATGCTTCTGACGTGTCCAGGTGGTTCTGTCAAGAAAGCCGATAGGTTGGCAGGTCTATGGCAGGAGGAAGGTCTGGGCTGAGTGTTGAATAGTATTTGGGAACTGAGAAGATGTCGTTGAAGTCATTTGAGGGTATGAGGTCTCCTGGGAAGAGAATATGGAGGGAGATAAGAGGGCCTATGATAGAGCCTTGAGGGGCTTCAGCACTTAGGGGTCAGGCAGGGGCGAAGGAGGGTAAAATCAAAGGGTAAAATCTTAGTGAACTCAACAGGCTTATGGCCTCTGGGTTGTTCTGTCCATTTCTTATTCTGGTATTTTGAGAAGGAGGTCACAATTGGAGTTTTTCCACCCACAATTATATCACATGTTAATAGTGTGATTCCTGTGCTCCTGGTCTCTGTCCTCACAGACATGGTGTGCTATTGGGTATTATAAATAACAAACATTTTATTGTCATTGGCTGCTGATGAAACCTGCTGAGAGTCCCAAGGGAGGAAGGTGATGAATGTTCTTGTTTTATAGGCAGAGATGTGTGGCCATTAGGAGAGCTGGAAACTGCTCACCTCCTGTTGTGGTCTTAACCCTTTGAGGGAAGCCTTGAGGCCTGGGTCAGGTCGGCAGACTTTCAGAAAATGGAGCACTTTACTGCTCTCTGGGGATTTTAGTAGCATAGTAGGTTAAGGTCCTTTGAGGAAGATCTGTCAGGAAGTTGACAAACAGCTCAGACATATCCCTCCTTATCCCCTGCCCCCACCCCACTGCCATTTCGAGGTTAATTTGGGACAACAGCTTCATCTTTTTAAAAATAAATATAGTGCATCACATCTCAGTTTTTTTTTATTCATCTTGCATTTAAGGGAACGAGGTTCATACGAGTGAATTGTCCTCGTAACTGAAGCTTACTGTGTTAACCTGTTTTTAGCTGTTTAATGGATCAGTAGCAAAAACAATAGTACTGTGGACCTAACTTTTTTTTTTTTTTTGAGCTGGAGTCTCACTCTGTCACCTAGACTGGAGTGCAGTGGCCTCCTGGCCACCGCAGCCTCGACCTGCTGGGCTCCGGCGATCCTTCTGCCTCAGCCTTCCAAGTAGCTGGAACTACAGGCGCATGCTACCACGCCCGGCTCATTTTTGATTTATTGTAGAGATGAGGTC